ATAGCCCCAAGAACACAACAACAAGGACATAAAAGTGGAAGCTACCCGAATGGGCGTTTTATTGTGTACAGAATCGGGAGTTGCTGTCTCGGGTGGCAGTGGCCGCGGGTGAAGTCCGGGCTGATGTGGACTTCGTTCAGTCACGCCTGAGGGCGTCTGCAAGTCTCAGCAAGTCTCAGCAAGTCCCTGTGTAGGATGTGACCGTTGCTAATAAGGGATTGTGAAGCGAATTCAAGTGTTGCAAGATTGGCGCGTTGTATTATTCGAGGGGTGTCGAGGTCACCTGCTGCGTGGCCGCAGGGTTGCGTACTCACGTGCGTGTGCGCACATATGTGTGCGAGTGAATATCCGTCCAGTGCTTTAAGGTCATAGAGTGGGGACAGTCACCAGCGCACGACACATGACCTCAAAGGCCGCTCCCATTGAACAAGAAACCATCGTTGGCTGTCGGCTACAGGAGCGATTCGTCAGGACAGCCTGCGAGGTTACGCTGGCAGTCGGTTAGGCTGACTCCTAACTATTCCCCCCTTTAAGTAAGGCAGCGTGTTTCTTTGAAGTGAATACCACCAAAGTAAACGTCACATTCCAGGTCACTCGTGAGTCCGAGAAATCCTCCAGAAACATTCATAGGTGAGCTTATTGTTGCTGCATGACAGTCAGCAGTAGTTCAGCGGTTATACACATAGTGGAAAGTCCGAATCTGCGTCGCCAGTGTTTTAAAGTTGACAAGCTGAGATGTCACCTGTAATACAGTTGATTTTTCGGTTATTTTTAGGGAGAAAATAGGAGGTAGCTTTAAGGTAAGGTAAAGGCCAGGGTAGGGCTAGGGTTAGCTATAGGCTTGTGCTTAACGTTTGGATTGTGATTATTGTTAAGGTTAGGACGCGAAAGTGTTTGCCCATCTTGCAGTTAGGCACGAGGTCCTTAGTACTAGGGCGTGGGGGGCTTTCCTATTTCAATGTCCCCTCAGCAGGGTCATACAAGTAATTTCACCGAAAGTCAATAACTCCCAAACAAGACAACGAGTGCGTAGCTCGACGATTAGAGCGTTAGACTCTGATCTTAAAGGTTGCGAGGTCGAGCCCTGGGTGTTGTACCAATTGGGTTTGGGAATGACTGGCTGACGATGGCTAACAAGCCAGAAATACCCATTCTTGCCTCCCTTGTCTATGTCGGTAATACTATTTGCTTAGGCTTTTAGCCGCTGCGGCTGCTGTTAGGGTCCGGGAAATGAGAGCCAAATCAGAGGGGGACAAGTGATTTGCGTTAGCGGTGGGTGATCGTTCATCAACGAGTTTTAATTCCAACCGGTCAGTTTCACATCAGAACATCTTGTGGTGCAGTCTTGTTCACGCTGCTAGTCGCCATTTATCTCATGCAAAACTGAAATGATTAATACAAATTTATGGAACTTTCAGTCGAAAAACCGGATGGTCTGATAATAATGAGAGAGATCGTATGAGTTGTAAGATTATTGTGATGTAGTCTGCATCCGCACGTTTCCTAGTTTATATGTGAACGTTTTGTCTCATAACACACTATTTTTTGTTGGTCTGTAGGTGTTCGCGGCTGCTAGGGTCACTTGCTGTCTACTCTCTTGGCGGAACATCGCGGATCCCTACTCTCGTATCCTTCTTTTGGGTCGTGCTGTCGTCTCTAGCCTCCAACCAGTCCGAACTTGTCACTTCGGCCGCATGGCGGACACCACCAAGGTTGTGGATAATGACAGTGATAAAACCTGCGAACTTCCACCTGCTCTCGATTTACAGCTGGATAAAACAAAGTTTACGAGGACAGCCATCTTCTTCACCGTGGGGCTGCCCATTGGCCGCGAATATAAATCCTGTCTAGAAAAATTGCGGTCCTATATGACGGGATTTCTCAACTTGCCGAAATTCAAGAGTACCTAGTAAGCCGTTTCCTCACATCCACCGATTTTATTTTGTGAGTGTTACCTCGCTACTGTTTGCTATTAAGTAAGAATAATGTGCTGTTTTATTAAAGTACTGACAAATCTGGCAGCCAACGAAAGCTAATATTCATTCGGCAAGTGCCAACCCAGAGGGATCAGAATGAAAGCCCAAGTGCTGAAAAGAAGGAAGAGGAGAACGGTGCACACAATCGGCTCTCGTGGCAAGAGCTGGAGGACTTAAGAATTGAAATTCCCGCCTCACCGGAAGAGGAAGTGCGGGAATTAATTGCCAACCCAGAGGCCACTGTGCCGCCAAGCCTTGGGGACTGCCTGCAACCGGATGGTCTACCTTCACGGCCCTGCGCTTTCAGAATGACCCTCACCTACGATAATCTACCACTTGAAAAGGTTCTCAAGGAGCTGCTTCCAAAGGACATGGAGGCAGTCACTGGCTTCTCTGTGATTGGTCACATAGCGCACTTCAATCTAAAACCCGAGGCCCTACCATATAGAAAATTAATAGGTGAGTTCAGATATCACTTTACTTTTACCTTTTTCTCTAACTTCAAAGACTTTCTTCGCCGCTAATCGACTATACGCCTACTACTAAGGTGGCCGGAGTTTTCAGTCACGGAACAAAAGTTCCATTCAAATTTATAATTCATAGACTAGAATACCTGCAGGAAAAATGTTGATTCGTGTGCTGTCCCTATCGGCGAAGTCACGCGTAAACTTGTTTGCAAAGACAAAAAAAAAATACAACCAATTC